GCTGTGGTGGGCGGAGCTTTCTTCCTCGGCACCGCAGTCTACATCGAAAGAGACCGCGAGCGAGCCGAGAACTACGCCCCCACAGGTGAGACGCCCCTGTGTGTTGTGCTCGCAGCTGATTGGAGGTGAAATTGTGATATCATTTCTGCCGTGACACTCGTCGTGTTTGTTTGTTTTTAACAGATGAGCCGATCGTGGTGCCGAAAAGCGGGCGCTCCACCCGGGTACCGGTGTCCAGCGTCCTGATCTGAGGAACCTGGCGGAGGTTCTTCTCCACCTGCGGCTGGTCGTGTCTCACCTGTCGGTGTCGCAGACTCTCTGCCGTGCAGAAACGCTTCAGGACACTTTTTATTTTTGCAGATTTGATTACTTTTTATAACCTTTTCTGCCAGGAAGGCTTGAGGAGAGCGTGCTCTTTAGCTCGCCTCTCGGCTCGGCGGCCACGTTTCAGAGCGCGTACGGCGTCGAGACTCGACCGAAGCTGCTCCGTGGACTTTACTGACCCCGCTGTCGTCGATCAGCCCGGAGGCAGAAAGACGGATGACGTCGTGCTCTCGCGTCTTTCCAGCAGAAGCTTCGTTAATCGCTCTGATAAGCACGTTTGAGCTGTTTTAGTTAGAACACTAACTCTCTCCTGTTTCCTTCAGCGCCTCGACCATTTCACCTCTCGTGGTTTTAAAGAGCCTCTATCTGAATCCCCCGACCCCTGACCTCTGACCCCTGACCTCTGACCCCTGACCTCTGACCCCTGACGTCTGACCCCATCCCTGGACACTGTAAACATGTAATTTTCAGTTTTTTAAAATGTTTTTATTACATTTTCCTTCCAACATGACTGACACATGAAGACTCCATGGTTACGGTTGTTGTCCCCCTGTCCCCCCCCCGCCCCCCCCCGGAGGAAACGGCTTTTCACTGAATGTTAACCTCGAATAATTTTAACTTTTCTGAATTATTAAATGAAAATGAACCTGTTGTCTGTGTGTTTACAATGGAAATGTTTATGATCACAGCTGTGTGTCGATGTTCTGATAATTCATTTAACGATCAATAATCTAGCAAAGCATATCCTAACTATCATCTATATATATAAGTGAATATATCATAATTTAATTTACAATAAAAATGATAAATATTTGTGTCACATAATTTAAAATCCACGATAATAAAAAGGTTTTACATAAATAAAAACAATATTTACTACTTAAATTATTGTTAAAATAATTTTATATTAATAAACTACTACTAGTCATTATTTTATTAAATGCTTTTAGTGTTAAATATAGCAGCTTTAATTACATTATTGTTGAATTAAATATTAAAACTGATCAATATGTTAGAATGACTTTTAAAAAGTATCAAATTAGCTAAATGTAATTTTATTTTATAAAATGTCAAAAGTGGAAAAAATGTTTTGTTTTGACCAAAACAATCAAAACGAGTTTTTATATTTTTTTGTAACATTTATAAAAACATCTTTATCAAAGTTGAAATACATTTCTGTGATGTCACGAAATGACCAGAAATATGTTTTAAATTTGATTTTTGACTCTTGACTTTGTGTTACAAAGTTTTGTCGTTCAGCTGTTTACAACAAAATATTATTGATTTAATTTTGCATCAGTTCAAATATATGAAAATATTCAATCTGCCTGACGCTGTGTGTGTGTTTGACGTATGGTGAGTTATATTAGTAATTATATAAATGTTATTGTTGAATTGTTAGTCTAAATGTCCAGTCAGCACCTGTCACCTGACCAGCACCAGGTCTCCATGGTAACACAGCAGGGAGTTTAAAACCTCCACACCCACCACGACGTGGAGGATGCAGGCGGAGTCCCGGGCCTGCTCCACCTGCTGCCA